GTGCCAATCACAGATTGAATCTGGCAATTAGTAAAGCTTGCTCTATTGCTAGCATTAGGAATACAATGGGAGTTATATCTTCCGTAGCAGTTTTCTTCCGTGATTCTCCAGCAAGATTTAAAATTTTGGAAAACGAAGTAAGGGAGAATCACAACCTGAAACCAGGAACTCATGGTCTGAAAAAACTCTGTGAAACAAGGTGGATTGAAAGACACGATGCTGTTCTGACTTTTGTGGAACACCTTCCTACACTCCCTGCTGCTCTAGAAAGAATTGCTAATTCTCCTCAAGGCAAGGGAAGCAATGCATTTGCTTTCATGCACTCTATCCTCTCATCCGAGTTTTTGGTCAGTGTGGTAGTGTTAGCTGAGGTCCTTGGAATAACCTTACCACTAGCACGTAAACTTCAAGCTGAGTACATGGACGTACTTAAAGCAACTGAGCTTGTAGAAGTCACTACAAAAAGCCTACAGGAAAGGAGAAACAACAGCACCGACACATTCAAGGAGTTATTCACTCAATCAACTAAGCTGGCGGAAGAAATGGGTACAGATATTCAGAAGCCCAGTACAACATCCCTTCAAAAAAACCGAGCAAATGTCCAGGCTGAAACGGTTGAAGAATATTATAGGATGACAATTTACATCCCATTTCTGGATTTTGTAATCAATGAACTGATGGCAAGATTTCCCAAAAATGAAATGGAATGTGTAGGTAAGCTACAACATCTTCTCTCACCAGATCTCAGTGATGGTCAAATAAGTGATATTCTTCAAGGAGCTCGTAAATATGAACATGATTTGCCGTGCTTCTCTGCTCTGAAAGGTGAGCTACAAATTTGGAAACACATGTGGTCCAATTCTGCAAAAGAAATGCCAAAACATCCTGCACAGGCATACAAGTTGGCCGAACCACTGCAAAATGTACAAGTTTTACTGCAGCTGCTGTGCACTCTTCCTGTGACGACAAGTACAGCTGAGCGAACCTTTTCTGCTTTGCGTCGTATGAAGACATACCTGCGAACGACCATGACGGAAGAGAGGCTTAATGGACTGGCATTACTCCATGTTCACCAAGACTTATCCAGTGAATTGAAAGCCGAAGAAGTCTTGGACGTGTACGCGAGGAAGCACAAGCGAAAGCTGTCTCTCAAGGTTTTATGAGAAGATGGTCGAATAAAAAGTAATTTTCTTTATGTTTTTACCTATATTGAAATACAGTATACTTATACTTATGTGTTGTGTATTTTTATCATATAAACAACATTTTGTAGATCTTAAATTCATGGTAACGGCTAACAGGTCGAAGTGTTCTGACCAGTATTTTTGAATTAAAATGGTAATATTCTATATTGATAATTCTAAAGTTCCTAATAAAAGGCAAACAAATAATTTTGAATACAACTGCATATTTTCGTATAAATAAGTTCATTTATTAAAAAAAACAGCATTATGTATTAAGTCATCGCAATTCACAAATCTCACTGTAATACATAATATTCCTTATTCTAAGTTTGAACCTTGTGCCCCCCCCCCCAAGACAATTTTCTGGATCCGCCGCTGCTTATTAGTGATACTGCTCTGTATTCACTGCAATATCTAGCGTTTGTATTTTTAGGGATAGCCCCAAAGGTGGAGAATAACCATTGTTTCGGTATGTGTCCTGTTTTGTATACTGAGTTAAATAAGTCTACTATAATGTCTAAGGTTTCATCATTCGTGTATTTTAAGATTTCTATAGGATTTGGTCTGGACCTAATGCTTTACCATTTTTGCTGTTTTTCAATGCCATTTTAATTTCCTCTTTTAATATCTTTGAAACCATATCCTCTTCTACTTTTATCTCCATACGTTGTGTTCTATTGTCTTTGAACAGTTCATTGATGTATTCTGTCCTCTTTAATTTGTCGTTAGTATTCAACACACGTTTTCCATTTGCATCTTTCAGTATTCCCGGTTTTCTTGTTCTATTGTTGTGAGTTAATTCTTTAATTTTTTATGTGTTTTAAAACTATCATGTCTTTTCTGGTATTCTTCTATTTCTGCGCATTGTTCTTTTAACCATTGTTCTTTTGCTTTCTTAATTCTGTATTTTATTTGTTTATCCACTTTTTTGTACATCTGATTATCTTTGTTCTTATATTGACGTCTTTCTTCCATTAAATCTAAAATTTCTTCCATCATCCATTGCTTCTTTTTATATCTTTATATCTGGTTCGTATTAGAATTTCTTTTTGACTTTTATATATTTCTGTCTTTATTAAAAACCATTTTTTGTAAGTCTCGGTATTTTGCAGCATTTGTTGTTTAACATTCATTAATCCGTTGTTGATTTCATCTGCCAGGCGTTGCCTTATGAGTGGGTTCCTTAACTTACTTGTATCGATTTTTGCATTTGTTGTTCTTCGTTTTATTATTTTCATTTTGAGCCTAATTTTGGTTACTACTGGGTTGTGATCTGATCCTCTGTCGGCACTTGGATAGGTTTTTACGGATATAATTGCGTTCCTCTATCTTTGTCTAACTAATACATAGTCTATTTGGTTTCTTACAGTTCTCTCTTCTTGATCTGCTGGTGACTTCCAGGTATATAGTCTTCTCTTTGGCATTGTGAACAATGTATTAGCTACAACAAAATTATTGTTTTGGCAAAATTCGATAAGCCTGTCACCCCTTTCGTTTCTGTTGTCCAGACCATATCCTCTTGTACATTCTTCTACTTTTTCTTTCCCAACCTTTGCGTTAAAGTCTCTTATTATAATTGTCACATCTTGCATTTTAATGGATTTTAAAATGCTGTCTAGGTCCCCGTAGAAAGTTTCAATAAATCAAAGATCATAGATCAAAGATTGTTGGAAACGGTAAAATGATAGGAATGCCAAAAAACGTTGTTCATAGAAAGGAGGTGATCTTCTTCTTCGGAGGTGAAATAATTAACATTTTATCAATTCGTTTAAAATTATGCCATATTTAGTATGAAGTACGTTTATTTACGTTTCAATTTTCACTTCGGAAATCGTTATCAAAATACAAACATCAGTAAATTAAACAAATTTTATTTTTTGAATTCTGGTGAAAAAAATCTTCTAATAATTTAATTTTATATTACTGATTTCTATTGACAATTCAGGTATACATTATACATTTTAAAGTATACTATGAAATGATATTGCTAATATTGTTGAGTTGCGTTCCTGTGACGACTTTAACTTGTAAGATAGTTCATTCGATTATATGAAATCAACTTTAACTTATTATCGTCAGAAAAGATCATAGCGTAATTCGTCTTTAAAAAGACAAACACATGCCATGATGACAGTAAACACTCCTGTTAGTGATTCCATAGTAAATTATGAGGGAAAAGCCAGGAAAAAACCTCATGATACTATCTCGACATGGTAAGTATTTGGTCGTGCATTTAGGCTACTTTCAAGAAACACCAAATTCTGATTTTATATGTTTGTTATTTAGAAAACATAAATGATGTATCCTCTATACGTTACTGACTTACTAATACTGGTATTTTCTTTTTAATAACTTCCTCTTTTAATATGGGTAATCAGATCCTACTACATTGTGCCGAGGAATTTGCGACACAATTGGTCTCATTTAGCATAATTAGAGCCGCTTCTTTGATTTGTCTCTTTTTGCCATCCGTTTCTTTTATGACTATATTTGAATCATTCCATTGAACCCTATGTTCATTATCCCATGTTATCCCATGTTGAATGACTAACAGGAGAGTTTTACTGTCATCATGGCATGTGTTTGTCTTTTTAAAGACGAATTACGCTATGATCTTTTCTGACGGATAATCTTAAGATCTTACAAGTAAAGTTGTCCCAGGAACGCAACTCAACAATATTGGCAATATCATTTTAAAGTCGTCTACTTTAAAATGTATAATGTATGCCTGAATTGTCAATATAAATAAGTCAGATAAAATTAAATTAGAAGACTTTTTTCACCAAGTATCAAAAAAACAATATTGTTTTATTTAACAATGTTTGCATTTTGAGAACGATTTCCGAAGTAGAAATTGAAACGTCAATAAACGTACTTTAACCATTAATTGTAGCTTATTCCCAGTTAAATAGTAATTATTTCAAAAAAACATTGAAAATAATTTTTCTTAGTTGTATTGACAACATTTTAAGAATTAAACCAGAGTATGAACTTACTTAAGTAAAAATAATAATTTATTTAAAACTTCGAACTTTACTCCAACACCTTAATTAATTCGGATAATAGCAACTGCCACATTATTAAAGCAAGAAATAATTAGTTTGTAGATATTGTGTAGATTTTTTCAGATGTCAGCAACCTTGAATAGTAAATAAACAAGGGTTGGTATGTTAAATATCCCAAGTCACAAACGAGTTTTTATTCAGAAGCACTTTCACTGCGTATAACGTTGCCAGATTATTTAATTTTCTGAAAATAAATATTGTTACGAACATGCATTCAGCGTGGCCCGCCTAACGGTCGCATTTCGAAGCACCCAGAAGTTTCGGCGATATACAGCGCTGTAAAATTCCACCCGTCAAATAACGAATTAGAGGTGGGACTACTCCCGAATATTCTCGAACATAATACTTTGGTATATATATGTAACGAAATTAGGAGTTAAGTTAGTTGATAAGAGAGTACCGAACTGTAAAGTTGTAAATAAATATATTTATATAAATTCGAACGGCTCGTTTTATTTAATCTCGCTACAATATTTACATATATTATTATGGAAGACTATGTATTTTTTTGAGACGGGTTAAGTTTGGAAAAAAATGTTAAGAGGACTTTTTTGTTCCAAATTGTACAGGACACCCTGTATATTAACAATATTCTCTTAAATCGTCCTCATGAACTTTTGTTGGAATTATCTTTAGTTGTTCATGTACTTTTTTTAGTGTAGATTTCGTTGTTTTCTTGAATTATATTTACAAATCATTCTGCTTATGTTTATTCAAAGGATGGAAACTAGTGTTTCAATTGTTATTATAGTTCCATCAACTAGTACCAATGATAGGGGAGTACAGCCAGCGACCTTTATAGAATTGGACGATAGTATCGAGATAACATCCACAACAGCCCCTTCTACCGCCGCTGAGGTAAGTCGAATATAAACGTTTTTGCAATATAAATATTTCAATAATTCACCATTCCGGTATAATATTACAAAAAACACGCAATAAGATTCTCGCTAAACATGCAGGGTGTGTCAAAAACTTTGGTTTGGTGACTGGGTTTATCTCGGGACATATAAGAGATAGTGACGGGAAAAAATATCCGTAAGTCAGTCAACCAAAAGTATATTGGAGTTCGAAATATTGTCGTTCGATTTGGTGAATTCCAAACTATGCGTTTGCAACTGTTTATCATCTTTGCTCTTTCTTTTTGTAGATTTATCGTTACTCTAGCTCTTACTGGTCTGTGGTCGCTTCCTACTGATAGTTTATTGAATACAGTGACATCTTGAATAATTTGCTTTTTGTCTGTTATTATATAATCATATTCGCTCTTAGTTCTTTCGTCTGGACTAGCCCACGTCTATTTTCTATTCTGTTTCTTAAAAAAGGTGTTCATTGCATACAGTTTGTGTTGCAGTAGAAAGTTGGTAAACATTTCGCCTCTTTCGTTTCTTACTCCGATTACAAAATCTCCGATTGCCACTTCTTGTTCGTCCTTTTTCCTTCCGAGTTTCCCGTTAAAATATCCCATTATCAGATTGTAATGAGCCGGTTCCTGCTTTTTTGCTCTTTCGATTTCTTCATAGAAGGCTTCGACAATTTCATCGTCGTAATTGCTGGTGGGGGCGTATACCTGGATTATTTTCAGATTGTATCTCTTATTTAGTCTTAGATTTATACACATAACTCTTGGGGAAATGCAGTCAATGTTCTGTATATTTTTCTGTAATTTTTTGTGTACTAATAAACCTATTCCTCCAGTTGTCGATTCCGGTTCCCCTTTATATTGGAATATGTTTCCTGATTTTAGTTTGACCTGATCTTCACCTGTTCTTTTGACTTCGCTAATTCTTATAATATCCCATTTCACATGTTTGAGTTCTTCCTCCCGTTCTGTCATTTTTTCATCCTTAGATAAGGTTCTTACATTATACGTAATTATGTGCATCGTTCCTCGTTCTTGGTAGCCTCTTACATCCCGGGGATTCTTTGCACCCTCTACCCGCTGTCCGAGAGCCCTACCGCTACCTTGGTCGGGAATTAGCGAGCTACCGGGGACTGAGTGCCGTTTTCTTGAATGTCTGTTCATGCTGAGGGGGTTTTGCCATTTAAACACTACGCTTGCCAGGCGGGTTGGTGAGTTGGTTTGGGAAATTGGTAGGATAGTAGGTATTGGGTAGGAATGGGGTTAGGACATGATTTCTCTCCACAGGAGTTGGGAGAGAATCAAGGCTCGCGTAGAGCAGGATCGCATCCCTGAAGTAAGTCTATCCTCCACTGGGATTGTGGAAGAGTACCTACCCGCTACACGTATTCGCTTACTGTTTCTAAATTTTTGTCGTTCAACGATATTTTGTAATGCTTGGTGTGTTTGTTATTGTTTTTGTTTTTTCCAAGTTCATCTTAAGACTTACTTTTTCCGAAGCTTGAAATAAATGCGTCATCATAGTCTGTAGTTCCTCGAAACTTGTAGCGAATATTACAATGTAATCAGCGTATCTCAAATGACAGTTAATGTCTTTGAACACGTCTTCCAGTCCAAGTGTGAATGCTTTGCTGAGATAACGTCTCCCTGGCGAACTACTGTTGATTGGTATAGCTTTGGCTTTTTTTACTTACCATCAAGAAAACTGTATTCGAACAATTTTGACGGCGAGACCTTCAAAATACGGCAAATTCGTTAAATATTTGTCTTGTAAAAATCAACCTGAACCTTTTAAGTTAAGTCCAAAGCTAGATCTTTTGGTGCTTAACAAATTACCAAGATTTCAAATCGATTCAATCAATTTGATCTAATCGTTTTACTTCGTCAACTGTTACATGTGTGGTCTTTGCGTCTTGTTTTATAATTCTTAACACATTTTTTTTTGTCTTTAATGCCAATTATCTGGATTTTTGCCCCGTTATTGTGTGTTTTGATTATCTTGTATTCCATTATCTGCCGTCCATGGACATCGTTCCCTATGTAGGTTATACAGTCTGCGTGTGCTCGTCTTTTTAACGATTTTATATACTCCGGTTCTTTTTTGCCAGTAATCTTCGGCGTTCGCCGAACCGTATTTATTTATGTCATATATGAATATAAAAACAATAACTTTCACTGTCAGCTCGTCGTGAAGGCCATTCTAACACAAAACGTGTTAAATCAGTCGCATATTTGAAATACATTTTAACTCTATAATTTGTTTTACATTATAAATCGCTTATTAGTTAAGCTAATAACAGTGACACATTCGGTAAATGCAAATTATGAAAAAATATATAATGCATTAATAGTTGTTTTCAAGCGCCAAAAATAAATGTGTCGACTTTCATATTGTCGGTATTCCGGGATTTTTGTTTGTATTTTGAGAAATATTCGACTAAATTCTTGCCCGATTATTTATTTGGAACAACAATTTTATAATAGACCGAATTCTTGCTATGTATCTTAGTTTTTGTTAAACATTGTAAACAAATGATTGATATAAAAATTTTAGATGTTGGCGGAAACAATTTTTGCAATACCATTTGCTCATTCAGATCAATCTTCGATAGAAATTAATAGTCAAACGCCGTGTACGAGTGATACAAATATGGGGCAGATAGAGTCCCACAGACCGGAGGGCGATAATATGGAGCAGGTAGAGTCCCACAGACCGGAGGGCGATAATATGGAGCAGGTAGAGTCCCACAGACCGGAGGGCGATAATAAAATGGTGAGTGATTTTTTCTTATTTTTTGGTATGCTACAGCGTTTTTGACTTTTATTTTTTGCGTTTGTTTATACTACGTTCATTTTACTATGTCTCATACTTAAAGGAATTTTATAGTTTTGTGCTCAGAAATTTATTAAATTAATGTTTTAACATGAGCTAAGTTATTCTCAGGGATTTATGGTTTTTACAAGAGATTTATAAACATGGATAAAAAGATGTGTACATTTATTGAAGGTTGAACCACCACTCTCTACTAAATCTATGTAGACTCCCGTCAGTTCGGCAACCTCGGGACCCGACTCTATTTCGAACCTAAAAGTGGCCGAATTAACCGATCTTCTTCTTCAGTGCCTTATCCGGTCCGGATGTTGGCGATCATCAAGGCTATCATGGTTTTGTTGACTTCTCTGCGAAACAGCTCCCCTGAGGTCATCCCAAACCATTGTCGGAGATTTTTTAACCACGAGATACGACGGCGTCCCGGTCCTCTTCTGCCAAATACTTTACCCTGCATAACGATTTGAAGAATTCGATATTTTTCTTCGTTCCGCATCACGTGGCCGAGGTACTCAAGCTTACGTTGTTTAATTAAATTAAGCACTTCTTTTTCTTTTGTCATGCGTTGTAGGACCTCAACGGTGGTGACATGGTCCACATAAGATATTTTTAGTATCCTTCTGTATATCCACATCTCGAAGGCTTCGATTCGTTTTTCAGTGGCTTGCGTCAGTGTCCAGGCTTCAACTCCATATAGTAACACTGGAAGAACGTAGCACCTCACTATCCGCATCTTGGTTCCCAAACTGAGATCACTGCAGCACAGCAAGGATCTCAACGTAATAAATGTAGACCGTGCCATTTCAATTCTGGATCTAATCTCTTGAGCGTAGTCCCATTGTACTACGAATTAACCGATGCGTATCTAAAAATAGCCCATTTATTGTTTGTATGGATCTAGCACAAAACAAAACACTTATACATTAAAGTAGAAGACAACACAGAGGAATACTCTGACATATATTTAACACATGTATGAAAAGATTGAGTAGGTCAGATAGCCAAGCGGGCTGGGCGGCCGGTTTCTCATTCGCTTCACTGTGTATATATATATATATATATATATATATATACACACTTCATCTAATTATCGGCGTCATAGCCCGTGACGTCACATGATACCAATACGAAATATTTAGGCGTTAGGTGTGTTCTTTTTTAGAATCACTTTGCCGAGTACACTGCTATTAAAGCCACTAGACATATTTTATTATATACGCGTAGAAATATTTAAAAATTTCTATGAATGTTAACTTAAGAAATATACAATATTGCTTCATTTAATTTGTATAAATGCATTATAAAGCGTTTTTATGAAGAACATTTGTTCGGAACACACTGTAACTGTAATCGAACGAAGATGAAATTTTGGCATAAATTGGTAACACTTATTTGACAGTTGTGGTGTTAACACTTTTTGTACTTTAATATTTTGAATTTTAAAGTGAATACCTCTTGTTTTATATTTTTATCTATTTAATACAATCTGTTCTTTGTAGAACAAAATTAGTGTGTTTTATTTCAAAAATGTCACGTAAGAATTTAAATAGTCGTTGTAAAGAGATGATAATACTTTTGCAATAATTATGTGATCTACTTGATTTAAAATGGAGTCAGGATTTTTTTATACTTTGGCAACTATGTCAACTTCGATCTCTGACGTGACGTAGATAATGACGTGCATCGGTGTGTAGTAAATTAGATGAAGAATATATATATATATATATATATATATATATATATATATATATATATATATATATATATATATATATATATATATATATATATATATATATATATATATATATATATCTACGTACTAACCCTACGTCCAGAACTCTAGGCCTAATAAAATTTAAAAATATTGCATTGGTGGTTTGGCTTCTTAAACGCTTAAAAAAGTCAATAAATTTTTTCTGAATTTTCTAATGATTTTTCATGTGCAAATTAACGCCACTTTTTAATAATCTTTACATCGATGGCAGTTGCTTCTATTTGCTATTCGACGTAGGTAGCTGCCAGTTAGACTCCGACAAAGTTTAGTTTGGGAATATGACTCATAACTCGACGGTGCGCAGTAGTTCTTGTTTACTAGCGTTACCATAGAAACGGCCAGTTTGCAGTTTGCCAGTGTCGTAGTTGCGTATCGCAGAGAGTGTTTGACTTGTTGATTTGATCGGTTGGATATTTTATTATTTTATTTTATATTAGTGCTTAGTATAATATAGGTAGTAGTAATTAGTGAATTATTAAGTCATTTAGTGTTTAGTTTAGTTTATTTATAGTGTGTTAAGTGTAGTTATTAATAATAGTTATAATATGGCTTCTAAAAAGATAGGAACGAAAGGGCTGGGATTAAATAGCCAAGCTAAGGCAATAATTTATAATGTTACTACATTTATGGAACAAGAGGCAGCACATTTCTAAGCAACCGAAAACTTGTTAATACCTTTAAGGAAATTGACGTAAGTATTGTCAATGATATTTTATTTTCTTATGTGTGTGTATGTGTGTGTGTAAAAAATATGACACGGAAACAAGTCCATTAGCCACATAATGTTTTATTTATGTATAAAAATATTTTGTTTGCTCTTGTTTGTTACTTTTTTAGATCTTTTTAGATTTTTTGTTATATTTATAAGTCATTGAAGTTACACAAAAAATACGATACGATTCTACATATTTTTTGTTTTTAAATGAATGCTTCTCAATTCTGTATGTTGTGATACATTTGAAATTTAAACCGTCATACTTTTGAAAATATATTCTTCAAATTATCTCGAACAAATTACAGGTGGAGAAAAACCGAAAACAATAGGAGTGTCCTAATGGAAAAATATGAAATTCGTTTAAAACGAATAGAATATTTAAAGAAGTTAATTCAATTTCGATCTGAGGGTAGAGCCATAGTTTATACCGACGAAACATATATACACAGGAGCCATACTCCACCATATCACTGGGCAGATCAAAGTGAAAAACTGAAATTTGACAGTTTTTTTGAAAAAGAAACCAATTTCTAAGGGTAAAAGGCTGATTGTTCATGCTGGAGTAACGACAGCATGAACAATCATGTATCACAACGATAACAATAATGTAAGCCATAATTACTTTCATAATAAATCACATTCTATTAGGGCCTCTATGAAACTAATATCGAGGAAAAGGTTTCGGCACTAAGCTTTTGATAACGCAACATTTAGTAAAAATAAAAATATACAATGAATATTTTAATCGTCGAAAATTCCTCTAAAATAATTTATACAATAATTTCATTATATTTATGCTTTTAGTGGCGACTATCATGACGATATGAACCATCTTAATTTTATGAAGTGGGTCAGAAGTCAGTTTATACCTAACTTACCTAAAAATTCGGCCTTGGTTGATAACGCATCCTACCATAATGTACTAATCGAAAAAAATGTGACGTCTGCTAGCCGTGGGGATATTATGGTAAAATGGTTACAAGAAAAAAGTATTTCCTTTCCAGAAAATCTGACCAAACCGGAATTATATAAAATTATTCAAGCCAATAAACCACGTTTTCCACCAGTTTATGTGTTAGACTATGAGCTTGAACAACATGGCCATCAAGTACTTCGCGTGCCTCCTTATCATCCAGAGTTAAACCCTGTTGAAAAAATATGGGCTTTGGTAAAAGGTAGAGTGGCCACTCATAATACAACATTTAATATAAATGATGTTGAAAATATAACAAGAGCAAAATTTTCAGAGAAGAGTGGGCTAAAATATGTAAACACGTAAAAAAATATGAAAACACTCAAATCGCAAGAGAACATTTATTAGACTCTACGCTGGACCACTTAAAATTTTTTATTAATACTGATTCATCCGAAGAAAGCTTTTCTGATGATGAAGATAGTTATTAAAATTTTGGAATAGACGTGTTTTTGTGTGATTTCCTTTGTCTATATGACAAAATATAGAAGTCTTTAAAATCCATATTTTTTTATAAAATAAATACATTATTTAATTTGTTAAAATAAATTACTTTTTTTTTGAGCTGTTGAAACCCTTCCTTCTTTCCTGGCAATGTTAATAAATTGTAAGTATTGAGGAATTTGTTATTTATTAAAGTACTCCTAATAGTTTACTTCATTATTTTATCGAATGTCTGTCTATAAACTTCATAAATATTAAAAACTATAAAAATTGACAAATTCATTCTCACTTTAATTGAATATACTTATAAAAATTTATTTTAAAGCTACCGGTTTCCGTCCGCCACTGGTAGAAACGGTCCGCCTTTCTGCGCGAAACATGACATCACATTCCCAAACTTAAGTTTGTAGGAGTCTACAAAGCTGTTTTGCCTTCAGCGTAGCTCATTTTATTTTCTTCATCTTCCTCTTCATTCTCAGCAGCATCTGTGTCGTCATCCTTCTCGTTTTCTTGGTGAATGAGAAACTCGGCGATTTCGTCGTCGTTCAAAACCTCGTTGTTTAGCTCCTTTTCAAAGTTGATCCACTCCAAAACATCTTCTTCAACAATGGGACCACAGTTAGGCGATTGCCTTCTGAGATTAGTATTCAACGTTTCGTTAACACTAGGTGTTGGTATCTTCTGGAGATGTTACTGCTTAAGAGTACTTTTAAGAGGTATCTGTTATCATCAGCCTCCAGTTTGGAAAGAACTTCAGAAAGCAGTTTTCGGCGATACGTTCGCTTGAAGCACTCAATGACCCCTTGGTTTATTGGCTGTTAAATACTGTTTACATTGGGTGGCAGGAACAACAGTTTAATTTCTTTTTCATCGTCACACTGAAGTGAGTCGTGTTGAGTAAACGCATTGTCAAGCGGTAGAAGTGCTTTGATGGGCAGATTAATTTTGTCAAATGGTTTTTCACTTTCGGAACAAATTTGCACACAAACCATTCCCTAAACGAATATGTGTCCATCCATGCTGATTTCGGCGACCGGTAATACACTGATAGAGTTTCCATGTTTATGTTCTTAAACGCTCTCGGTTTTGCTGCTTCAACCAGAAGCCTCTTCTGGTTGAAGCTGTGAGTGCAAGATCATAGCCTTCTCTTTTAGGATTGGTCCACTTAACGGTGTTCCTCGTTTTCGTTCTTAAACGAACCACAATCGCAGAGCATCTTCGACCAATTCGTGTTTTGCTTTTCTCCGTGTGCAATGCTTTTGTAGAACTTTTTCAGTTTCAATCTGTGTACAAAAGCCTTCGATAGTTTTTCTATTGCGTCACCAGTGGTTGATTGTACTTTTGCTCACGTTTAAATCTCTGCAAATACTTTGCACGGATTCTCCTTTGTCGAATATTTCTATAGTTTGTAGTCTCTGTTCCATTGACTTGTACTTACGTTTACGTGTTTCACTTTAAAGCTGTTTAATGCACGACGCGAAACAGTTATTGTCCACACGCACAATAAGTATACTTTCTATATAAACAGTAAAAATCGCAACTGAAACAAGAATCACTGACTGTAGGCCTACCGTGAAGATCAGCGCTTTAGCTGCTCACGACTGGCTGGCGCTCGCCAAGTGTGTGACTAATGCTCAGAGAGCCGACCGGACTAAGCGGAGACCAAACTAACCGAGACCGAACTTAGAGGAGTCTACTGTAGAAGGAATTATACATTAAAATAATATTGATGTTATTACTTACGTTACTCCTGCTCAAGATAGGATTAATTTACTTCTTTTCTGATAACCCTTTGGATCTGACATTTTTAAAACAATATATTTATTCCTCTTATTTGCATATCCTTACTGATACAGTTTGAAAATATCTAAAATTGTCTGCTGTATGGGCACGACTCAAAAGTTCCGGTATTACAGAGAAACTTGATATCGACACATTCGACTTCCACTGCACAACTAAAAAGGGCTAGTACTGCAAGAAACAATTTATCTTAACCGACAACATGTCATAGCTACACTAGTGGCGTATATCGGACATTTTTGCTATTATTATTGTGCCAGTTTTGCAGGCCATAAATAAGGCTTTTTCAAGCCCTCTGGTGATGTTAAGGCGTGAGGACGCTTCTCTGAGGGTGGCCATGTTTTTGGTCCCTCCAGCGACGGTTTTTGCACTGAAGTGTTACGCAAAAGCATCTGTGCTAAAAAAGAGGTTCCACCAACCTTTTGAGTCGAAAATCCTTTGTGGTTTCTTAGTATTTTGCCTATTGTCGCTAATGATTCATTGTATCATAGGCGCTAGGCTATCCCTGTTATTAATTTCCGTTTAAACCATCTTCAATGTCTTAAATGAGGTTAAGATTTTAAGTCCGTTTATGGTTTTCAGGTTTTTGATAGGTATATTAAACAGACTGACACATTTTTGTGGATACCACGACGCAATGTGCTGTCTGAAATATAACCACCGAAGTTAGATGAGCTCCTGTTCAATTTTGAAACCGTGATATGCTGTTTGACCGTGATTTTAGATTCTAAAACTATTTTTTTGTGCCATGTCGAAGTTATCTACTGTATTTGATGGGTAGGTATTAAGAAAAAATTTTAATTGAGAACAATTTCCTAGTAGATGTTTTCTGCGAAACTTTAAAAATAATGTATTTTAATTAAAATATGGTAAACTCTCATTAAATACAGTAGATAGATACTTTAGTCTACAGTTCTACTGTAACAAAGTTATCGGAAAATTACATAATCAATAACTCTATTTATTTAGTCAAATAAAGTCAAAAATGCTGAAATAATAACAAAACTATTTCGACGCAATTCAATAATTGAAAACCATTCGACACCCTTTTTAACTACCGCTTGTTCTGAGAATAAATCGCAGATAAAATTAGAAATGTTTTATTTTTAAAGTATCCATTTTCAGCTCGGAAATCGCATAACATTTATATATTTCGCACACTCTAACGTCATCAATCAATCATTTCTCGATAGTTGTTCTTAAGCATCGTTCGTTTTCTTTTTCGACAGATGTCCGAATCTCAGATGGAGAACGAGCTGCAGTGCGCCATTTGCGCCGAAATGTTCGTCAAAGCCTCGACGCTGAATTGTTCCCACACGTTTTGTAAATTTTGTATAGACAAATGGAAAGAAAAACAGACGATTTGTCCAATCTGCAGAACCAAAATCACCTCGCAAGTACCGACGCTAGTCTTAGACAATTTTATAGAGAAGGTAAGTTATATTCTTAATATTTAATATTAATTAGTGCAATTTTTCTATATATTAATATTGTATATGTTTTCTTTTAACTTTTTCTTCAAAGGTGCAACTCAAAACTTTGGTAAATAATTTTTTAAAGTGCTATCATTATTTATATTTCAATTTAACCATTTTTAAGTAGATAAAGCATATAAACAATAGCAAAATTTTATTTTTTTAATAGATCGCGGTAAATTTTATTGAATACTTTTCACTCTGAAAATTTTTGTTTAATATAAAAACGAATGCACTGTCATCATTATATGAAACTACAGCCTTTCATGAGCCTTCAATACTTCCTCCCTTGTCAAGTGCCTGTCTTTTCCTTCCCTTCACTGTAATCTTCCTTAAAATGTTCTCCCATATCTTCTAGATATCTGAGCTTAAATCGTTTTCTTCTTGTTCTCCTTATCGGCTTATATAGTTGTTTTAGCAGGTTCTCTTCCATCTATCCATGTCTTATACCCCATTCATCTTAGACTGTTTATTGTGATGGTTTTAATTATGTTTGACTTCTAACCAGAAGAATTATTCCATCGTTTCTATCATTAGAAGGCCTTACATCCCTTCGGGAGCCTTGGCATGTCTCAAAACCTTCTTCCTTGTCAAATGCTGCTTATGTATTTCGATCCCTTCACGTTGTAACATACCATAGACCTGGATGGATAGTGAGAATGCCCAAAAGTTGTGTATAACTTTGTGCAACACTAAACGACCCCTTGGGTCAATTTTTTTCTTGGAACTAGAATAATAAAGAATTCCAGTTTCGAGTAACTACACTGCACATACGGAAAAAATATAAATAATGACAGGTATATTTCCTTTTTCACCATCAGAAAATATTCAACATTGTGATTGAATCTGCAATGGCAGGTTATAAAAAATAGGTAAAAAATCGGTGAATTGTGATATTGTCGTTTTTGTTGTTAATTAATTTCTATTATTCACGATTCTCATTAATTCTTTCATCTTGACTCCATCTGGTAGTACATCAGAACTGACAAATTATTCCCAGCTTCTTGCGTTTTATCATCATCATCAACTAGCCTCTAACGTGCACTGCTGAACATAGGCCTCTCGCATGCTTTTCCACTTAGTCCGATTTTGCGCCATCTGAATCCAATTTATAGTCACTCGTTTTATGTCATCTGTCCTGGGGGTGGACCTCTATTTCTGGTAGCTTGTATTCGGGGTCTCCATTCCAAAATTCTTTTTGTCCATCGGTTATCAACTGATCTTGCTACATGACCTGTCCAGTTCCAATTTAGGGTTGTTATCCTTTCAATAACGTCTGCTACTCCTGATCTTTTGGGTATAGTAGCATTGGGTATTATATCACGTAGAGAAATCCCTAACATTATTCTCTCCATTGCCCTTTCCGCAAGTTTACTTACTGTTGCTCTTGTGAGTGTTAGGGTTTCTGCGCCGTAGGTCATCACTGGCAAAATACACTGATTAAATACTTTTCTTTTCAGACACATTGGAATCTTAGACCTAAAAATATCCTTCACCTTTCCAAATGCAGCCCAAGCGAAGTTTATTCTTCTTTTCAGCTCGATTGTTTGGTTGTCTCGACTTATTCTAATCTCATGACCCAAGTATTTATAGGAGTCAACTGGCTCAATACCTTTGTCTTCTACTGAGATGTTTTTTATCGACTATTGTCGAATTTGAGGACTAAATTTGTCGTAAATTGTGTTTTTGAAAAATTTATTTTAAGACCAACTCTTTTTGTGACCGTATGGAGTTCTTGGAGCATTATCTGTGTCTGATCAAAGCTGTCTGCAATAAGAACGATATCATCTCTGTAAATTTAAGCTTATTTAAAAATTTTCCATCTACATTGATGCCCTTTTCGTTCCAATCTATTGTTTTACAAGCGTATTCTAGCAAAGTTGTAAATAATTTAGGAGATATGTTGTCTCCTTGCCGAACGCCTCTTTCAATACGAAAGGTCCCAGTATCTTCATTAAGTCTTACACAGGCTGTAACATTCTGATCGATGTATCTGATGAGGGATATGTATCGGTGATCTTTTCTACATTGTGTTAGAGCTTAGAGCATTTCACTTTGATTGACCGTATCAAATGCTTTTTCAAAGTCGACAAAGACAAGTATCAGAATGGTTTGCAAATGATCATTTGTTCCGTATCCAGCTCTAAATCCTGCTTTGATAGAAGTCGCGAGGTTGATAGGAGTCTAGTTTTGATGTCAATCTACTAGTTATTATCTTCATAAACAACTTATAAACGTGAGATAACAAGCTAATAGGTCTATAGCTCTTTAGCTTTGTTATATCTCTTTTTTTGTGCATGACTGCTATAACAGCTTTATTCCACTGAGATGGTGTAACCTCTTTTGAAAGACATAAGTTATAATTGTGTCGATGTTTTCAATACTGTCTTTCCTCCTGCTTTAACTGCCTTAATAACGATTTGGTCATCACCAGCTGCTTTATAGTTTCTCATTCGATTTAATAACTTTGAGACTTCTTCGATTGTTATTTCTGTGATATCCTCTGAACCCACATTCTGGACTTTTCTCAACTTGGTGCCGTATTTCTTACCCCTTTCTCTATATCATTATGTGTAAAATTCTTCAACTACCTTAATTATCTTATCTTTATCTGTTACCAGTTTTCCATGTCGATCTGCGAGCTTAACAATATTCTTCTTACCTAGAGCTTGACATCTCTTCAGCACCTTTAAACTTTTATTTTCCTCGACAACCGTTGTAATCTTTTTTGTGTTACATTGTTGTACGTCCTTTCTCACTGCTTTATTAATATCTTTATTAAGTTGTTGTAGTACGCGTGCATTCGTATCGTTTTTGTTCTTAAGTTCTCTTCGTGTCTCCATAAGTCTTTTTGTCTCTTGACTGATTTTTTCCTCGTTATTTCTCCTAGGATTTGTATTGCACTTTTTCTCTGCGTTTTTAATAGCTTTGATTAAGTTATCATTTAAGGTTTCGACGTCCATAACGTCTATAACGTCTATATTTGTTGTCTCTAGACATCTTAGAATTTTCTCTTCGAAGGACATGGTGTTTTCGATTGGATTCCATCCTATTGGGTGTGTTTTTGTTATCATTGTGTATCTTTGTTTTTGGAGATTTAGCACGATCTTCGCTCTTACCATTCTATGATCACTTCCCACTGAACAGCTATTAAGAACTGTTACATCATGGATCATATCTTTGTTGTTGGTTAAGACAAAATCAATTTCATTTTTGGTGACTCCATCTGGACTTGCATTGAAGGTCTATTTTCTTTGGGGACTTTTTTTGAAAAAGCTATTCATTGCAAAGAGGCCATTTCGTACAAAGAAACCAAAAAACATTTCACCTCTTTCATTTCTTTGTCCGAATCCGTAGGGACCTATTGCAACTTCAGTCCCATCCAGTTTACATCCCAACTTAGCATTAAAGTCACCCATTACTAGGTTGTGTGTAGCAGGCGCCAGTTTTACTGCATTTTCTAGGTCTCATAAAAGGTTTCCACTTTCTCGTCCGAGTGTGTAGATGTAGGTGCATAGGCTTGAATTATTTTAAGGCTGGTTTTTTGTTAAGCTTCAGTATGCAGAGTATTATTCTTGGGTTGATACCTTTAAATTGTTGTATATTTTTAGTGTGTCTTTTATGTATAAGAAGTCCAACTCCTCCTATTTTTTCTTTGTTTCCCATATAGAAAAGTTGATGCCCTGATTTAAGAGTTATATAGTCTTCTTCTTCGCGTCTTACTTCCAATGCGGCATCTTATTTCTGTTGTCTAATCAGTATCTTCTGTGATCCATGCTCCAAGGTATTTGTACGAAGATATTTGTTCAATTTCTGTATTATCTAGTACTAGCTTAACTTTGATGCTTTGTGCTTTTATAAATACCATAAACTTGGTTTTCTTCAAATTTATTTTTAGTCCAAAAAATGTACCTATAATATGATATAATCCCTATAAAACGTCTTCCGACATCCATTTTTCATTCAATTCGGTTGTTCCGTTGTTCTAAGTTCTTTCGAGCTCATTAAGTTTCTTATTCCTTTCATCCGTGTTTTCTAAGGTAATCCTCTCTTCTGGATTCCTGTAGGTGTTCATACAGGTACTTGTTTCAGCAGTCTACTGTCTTTTATTCATTGGACCTGTCTGTACCATTTGAGCTGCTTTCGTTGTATGCCATCCATGACTGTACCTTCTATTCTCATACTTTATTGCATCCAGTTCGACGAGATATCTTTCTTCGATGTCTCTGTTAATCGTCGTGTTTCACAACCGTATAAATAAAGCATGCTTTTTACCACAGTTTTATGGGTTGTAGTGCTAGAGAGAGCATGTCAGCTGTGCCAAAACGAAAAATAATCCTTTTGCTAATTGCTTCCACTGGAATAAGCTTGACCGTTCAACTGGGCCCGGGCTACCTCCTTCTAATTCTTTAAACTCCTGTTTTAAAATTAATAATACTCATTATTTTGTCTAATTACCTATTTAGTTGTCAAAACAGATACATTGTTACCTAAAGAAGTGAAAAAGGTTCAATTTAGAAATTATATAGTAAATAATAAATATTTGAAAACTGATGCACATATTCCTCCCACGAGTTGGGCTTCAAGTACTAATTTTATAAATCGCACTACTAATAGACGTAAATCCTTTCATTTTAATTTCATGAATGTTTTTATTCAACATTATTTCAAAGCCGCACTGAATAGAAGGCCGCCCGCTCGTTTATTGTATAGACCCAAGACTTTACACAGTAGGGGGTTGTATAAGGTAGGTATAAAGCTAACCTCTAGTACAAGATGACGTTTAGAATATTCTTCGCGAATGGATTTTGTTTTCGTGAAGAAAGATATTTTTGAAATAGATATCCCTCTGAATTTTACCGTTACAATTTTCGAGGATAAGCCTTAAGCACTTCCATGTAGAGCCAATATACGAACCCCTCCCCATATCAGTTGGCTCAACGTTAGATTGATAAGAAAATTATATTTTAGAGAACAAAATAATAAACAGACTATTTTTGGTAAAAACATAGTTTTTACCAAGTTCTGACAAAATTCTAATGTAAACGAATCCCATATTTCTTGCAATTTGTCCTTCAATTCGTTGACGGACATGGCAGGATGTTTTCTCAAAGCTTTTTTTATTTCGCGCCACAAAGTCTCTATTGGGGACAAGTCGGGACTGTTAGAACCCCATTCCAGAAGTGGTATGCCATCATCTTCAATCTATTTTAAAATCTTTTTTGAGGTATGACAATCTACGCTGTCCTGTTGGAAGACAAAATCTTCTGTTGATGTTAAACGGTGTTCCCTAATCGGTAAAAGAGATTCTTCTAAAATATTCAAATATTTGTCCGTGTTTACCATTCCATCGATAAACTGTAACTTTCCTAACCTTTCAGATCATGACAGATTCAGAAAATTTGACTTCCCTTCAGAATGTCGAGATGGAAAGCCTCATTTTTCCTGCGAATGACGCGACTCCTACTGTCTCCCAACACACACTTCAAATCTGGACTCATCACTCCATTGTATTGAATTCTATTGCGACTCAGTCCAATCTTTATGCTCTTTTGACAATCTTAGTCTATTTTTCTTTTGTTGTAATGTTAAAAGTGTCTTTTCCTTAGACTAAAATAAAATTAAATTTATTAAAAACAATTCGTACCAATATTTTCAACTATAAAACTTACTTTGTAAGTACCAAATCATAATTTGTGGGCCTCTCAGTGACATGTTGATCTAGAAACGTGTCTTCCAATAACGTCACTCCATAAAACTCTTACCTCCATATAATTTGCTCGTCGATTTTTCACTATAATTCGTCTTAATGCCCTTCGATCTTCTTCGTTATTTTACTTTTTCGTACATTTCTAGGTTTTGTGACGACCGAACCTATAGTTTTGTATCTTCTGACTCTATTTCTTACACTATAGCCTGACAATATCAACATATTCGCCATTTCCGAATTGGATTTTCCAGAATTAAAAAATCTAATAATGATTGAACAAATTTTCTCATCGAAAACTTTATCTCGAGCCATTGTACGAGGGGTACAATGGGTCGAAACTTTACAATACGACAAAATACATTTGACAATAATAATATTATTGTTTTGATGTCATTTTTCCATGGCTACCTCTGGATTAACATAATTATGAAAAAATCAACGTATGTTGATATAAGTGAATGCATCACCAGGGTTTAGTGAAATTTTTTTATTGTTTGAAATAAGTAAAAGGCATAAGGGAAATGTTTTTAATAAATATTAATAAAAATGCCATATTAATTAATATGGGAACTTATTAAAACATGCAAAGTATAGTTTGTTTATGGTAATCGACATAAACTGCGAATTCCATAGGTGGGCCAACTGATATGGTGAGAGGCTCGTACTCCTGTACTAATATATTTCATGTAAAGGAAATGCGCTCTAGGCTTTTATGGCGGCACCATACTTCGCTATGTGTTATTCGTTATGCGCCATATTTCGCCTAATAAGACGAAGTGTCGAGGGTACATTCATCAATTATTTGCTTTATTCGCACCCATAAGCGAATACCCGAATAGCAAATACGCTGTGCGCAAATAAGATTGTGTAGATCTGGTGACATACTACCAGTATCAAGAGGGCTTCTTCCGTTTCCTTTATTTTGCACGCTTTCACCCCCCTAACCAGAATCCCCCATGTGATGACCTCTTCTTTTCTTCCTACAAATAGTAGTGCCTTTCTCATTCTTTCATTTTTTATACTGTTTCTCAGAACTACCTCCACTTGTTTTATTGCACTTATGAAATATCATAATTCTAGATAAGCATCTTTCTGTAAGCTTCATTTTTTCTTTTATTGCATTCTTGCATTCATCGTCAAACCGATGATTTCTACGTGCACAAATTTCTGTTCATATTTCCTCTTTCGCTGCTGTTTCAATGTCTTCCTTTATTATGCTTTTTAAATGTGTCTGTCCTCTTTATTTCAGATAGTACAAGGTTCTGGACAAGATATACAGAACCATAGAAAAGAATTATTAGACGAAAGGATGAAGCAGCAGCAACAACAACAGCAACCACAACAGCAACCACAACAACTTTTTCCGAGACGACCAATGAGAGGCAGGCGAGGTAAAATTTTTTCTTTGCTTATAATATTACATTTATACTACGTTGGTTTATTATTTAAAATTTGGTGTCGTTCTACAAAAAAAAACTTTTTGGTACTCATGACTTTTAATTTGAATTTTTATTACGATAAAATATATTTCCAAATTGATTTTGTGAACTTGTGTGATTAAATTTGAAAACTCGTTATAAATCCGCTAATAAAAACTCGGAATTTATATTGCTCCGAATGTTGTATTATTTTTACTCGAGGCGAAATTCTCTCCTGATTTATTATTTATTAAAATAATTATATTCTAAATTGAGAAAACCCGAGATTTTATGACACCATACACGAAATGTTTGTTTTATTGCACCAACAACAAATTATAATTATAGTACCGCATTTTGTGATGAGTCTATAAATAGATTGAAACATATTTCACTAGTCCCAAATGAAATTTCTCAACATAAATGAATTATAACAGTACGAATCGCAGACTTTGTAGTAGAAAGTGACCTTGAAACTCTAGCATTTATAGGTGAATGTTTTAACAGTGTCACGATTACAATAAATAACATAATCAGGTGTTTTGTTGATCTTGCAACAGTCATTGATCGTATGGATTTTTAACGAGGACTTGTTCAGAAGAATGTTTTTTTGCACGTGTATGGACGACCGTGATTACAAACTTGTCTTGAAGTACTATTTTTATCTAATTATTACGATAGAAATTATTATTGCAATACAATATGACAATATGTTTGTTCGATTATAAATAAACGTATCAATACGACAGTTGTGTGGGCCTTAACACGTTAAGTACCGTTCGAGACTAGCGCGATCCAATATTTTTTATATCGCTATCGTTTCGCAGGTTTTTAATAGAATAATGTTTGAAGTAACATTCTTTAACTTTGAAATTCTCATTATCGGATGTTAGGCTATTATTAATTTTACAGAGAATATTTTGTTCGGTGTTTTTACCGACAATAAGGAATTTTAGCACTTTTCTAGGATTTTAAAAGCCCTTCTATCATTGGGTATTTTTGTTGTGTGTGCCACTCAATATTCTCTGTATTATTTGTTTGACACGTTGAAATTTTCATAAATCAACTGCTTTGTAACCACTGGCACCAGCCGATCGTGGCGTATTTAACTGCTGATGACTATTTCACTCATCTTAAAATTTTCACATAATCTGACTAATCACAAAACAAAGACAGCTTGTGTTATCGCGAAAACACCAACTGTCTTTCAATTCTGATTGGTCTATCAGCTTCGTGTTTTCAACGACGTAACCATGGATATCGATAGCAAAGCAAAGTTTGACGTTTGCCAAAAAATTATTGTAGCTGTATACGTCAAAATGAGTCGTTTCGGTGGTACTTCAAACCAAGTTTTTTTTATTGGGTTTAATGCCCAAACGAAGTTATAAACCAAAACATTGAAGAAAATATACCGAGTAACACAAGAAAATCTAAATCTTGTAATATATCATCTTGGTCTATCTAAGTAAAAATAGCAACAATACATTGTATCCACCCAATAACGGTCATACGATTCAAAATTTTTACAATTGCACCGTTTATAATAATTATAGTCGAGAATAATGTATTTTTTCGTGTACAAATTATTTATTGTTATAGGTAAAAAATAATTATAACAAATTATTTATAGTTATAATAAATATTTCATGATTATGACCATGATATAAGGAAACAAGGTATGCTCACTAGGTGGACTCGTTTTTGCACATTTCTGCGCCGACCAAAATCCACCATCTTTTCAATATGTCACATGCGTGTAGGGATGGTGACCTGATCCCGTACCAGTTACTTTGGAACATGTATTTTATTTATACTTGTGGAACTGATCCCTAACACCAATATATTATAATAAACGAGTACGGGTCATGGACGTATAAATAAAGATCTTTATTTATACGTCCATGGTACAGGTACTGTACTCATAGTAAGTGTAAGTGAGCATACCTGACCCGATCCACAAAAATATTTGGATCAACCACCTCTACATGCGTGACGTCTGCTTTGTTTACTTTTGCATTTTTTAACCTTACTTTGCAATGTATGGAATGTAAAAGTAAATGTGTTTTTGTTTTGTTTCGATTTTTTAAAAATTATTTTAGCAAGAGTCTGTTCAGATCATTTTAAATATGAATTAATTGGATTAATGTATAATATTAATTTTATTTTATTTAATTTAACTACGATATTTCGTATCAATTTTGTACATATTTGAATTGCCGCCTTCAAAATGGCGGATTTTGGTCGTAAACGCGATTGGCTGTTCAAAATAGATGCGCGTGAGCATACCATGTTTCCTTATATCATGATTATGACTAATTGTGAATTATTCAAAAAATGGGTAGATTTGGGTTACCTAGATCAATTGTATTATATTATTAAATGCCTTCCTCTCATTCTACTGAATTTTTGACCTATCACTTTGTTCATGAAATAGTCTAATAAAATACCACTCGTGATTTAATTTAGCTTATAAGTCTGTCTTTTATTTCTAAACTCAACTGAGTTTCTTAAAGAAAACACCACTCGTCCTACGGACTCGTGGTACTTTCAAGCAACTCAGTTTCGTTTAGAAGTAAATCGACAGACTTATCGCGAAAATTGAATCACTAGTGGTACATATTACTATTGATAATACACAAAATTAGCTTTTATTGATTTGAAATAAACTTCAAATGTTTAACGGTTTTATTGCCTAACTCACCGTTTTCTATAATAAATATTAAGAAAAAGGCAATACTTTTTTTCATTTTTATTTATACATACATGCATACATAATCATTTCCCTTCTACCGTTAGGTGTCAAGTGTTAATAAATTAACTCCATTCTTCTCTGTTTTTTGCCATTTGTGTTGCTTCTTGCCAAGATTTACCCTTATTTTGTAATATATCCGCTATGTCGATGTTCCGCTCCATATTTTTTAAAAACTCTTAATAAATGAAATTGATACAAAACTGATAAAATGAATTATGTATCTTTTATTTAATTGTATATGTATATACATATATATATATATATATATATATATATATATATATATATATATATATATATATATATATTTATATATATATATATATATATATATATATATATATATATATATATATATATATATATTTATCTTCATGCAACCTCTTCTGTCTACTGCTGGACATAAGTCTCTCTCATTTTTCGCCGCTCTTCGCGGTTCTGTGGAACCGGAACAGATTGTTGACAAAGGTTAAACAAAATTTTTATTTGGATGAGAAGACACGTCTGCCCATCTTTATAGCTTCTATTGCTCCTGGTGCTGTTGTTTTTCATATTTTTCATTGCGTCTTGGATTTCGCTTAGTGTGATCTCTGGCATGAGCTCTGAACCCTGGTTGATGATTTTGCGTGATGCGGCGGCTTCCAAGTTCGTTTGATCTTCTCTTTGACTTGTATATGGTTCTTGATATAAGTTTTCAACTATGTGCAGTAAGTTCTTCTCTCTTTGATATGGGACACATTCTTTGTTCTTTAGTTTGTGTATTTCACATTTTTCATTGTTTAGCCGTCTTCTCAGGACTTTCAGACTTTTATTTTCTTCCATAGTTCGGTGGACCTTTTCATTCTTAAATTGTCGTAAATCTTTCCTTATAGCTTTTGATACTTCATTATTAGTTTTTCTTCGTCAATGCTTTCGTTTCCTTTGATTTTCCTTCTAGTTTTTATTAGTTGCTTTGTTTCAATGGTTGTTTTTTCGTCTTGGCGTCTTTTAGGGCAGCATTTTACTTGAGCCGCTCGAATTGCTTCTACGATATTTTCGTTTAGGGTATTTACATATTTATGCATTCAGAAGGATTTTATTGATATTGGCTTGGTATTCATATATTTTTATACCCATAATCATTACAAAACTAATAACTAATTAAAATTACAAAACTCTGACATAATCACACCCAGAGAAAATTAATGGCATGGTAACCCAAGTGCTACTTTAGACTTAATAAAAAACAGTCTATATACAGTGCTCACCAAAAGACTAGGAAATTGAACCGCTATACTGTTTGTATCCTACTCTGGTGTCTTCTGTTTAAAACCCAATTTTCTGCTTCGTATGTCAACGTTGATCTATAAATTTTTTTCGTATATTGTCATCTTCGTTACCTTGATTTTGACTTTGTTGTTGAGGAATCATGTGTGCCTCGAATAGTTTTCAATATTTGCAATATTTTTGGCTTCATTATTCTTTTATTTCTATCATTTCTTCTTTGTTCATTTTCTTCTCTCACTTCTCCTTGTATCTGATTTTCGTTTTTTCCTCTCCTAATTTATCTGTTTTAATTATTTCCTTGTATTTCTTATTGTTGTGTCTGGACATTTTTCCCCCTTAGTTCAAAATATTTTTCCGGATGGATTTTAAATGCTTTTCATTTTTTCGTATTGCCTTCCCCTTTTATCTGCATATTTGTACTTGTTTTGCCGGCCTTCCGAACTGAGTAATCTGTATAATCTGAGTAAGAAACCTGTGTGTATAATAGTATTTAACAACTTTGTTCTACGTTTAATTTTTCTTTCGCTTCTTGCGTTCACCCGATATTTGTCATTTTTTATGGCTACAGTAAAATAATGTCCCAACATTCTGTGTCCTTAATATATTAAAATAAATTATATAGAACACAAATAGACAGAGAGAGAGAGAGCGACGAGTACAAGTCCAAGTTCGGCGATTCCAAATTGAATTATCATGTCTGGCCTTCGACCCACATTTTAGCGTGAATTGTACGTTTCAAGATCTTAACGTATATTTTCTATTTCGATGAACACAAATTTAACTACCTTCGATATATATTATAAAATGATTAGTGTATGCTAATGATTGCTTTCACTGGCAATAAAAAAAGTGTTACATGGAATACTTCCGAAACTAACAATAACTAGTATGCTCCGAAAGACAAATGATTGAGAAAAGATGAAATTTCATGTTACAAATAATATAAAAAGAAGTTGATTAAAAAAACTGTTTTTTTTTAATTAAAATAAACAATTTCAATTGAAATTAAATTAAATTTCAATTAAAACTGTAATTAATTCTCTATTAATACAAAAGATATAAACAGAAAAGCAGCAATAAAGTAGTTTCAGAACCACATTCAGAAAATTGTGTTAAGATAATACCGTTGTCTGATGAGAACACGATTAAACGTTGTAAAAATGTTTTATGTAATAAAATCGTTTAATAATTTGAAATTTTTTAACGCAAACTTTTCCTCTTTATAAAAATTGAATTAAAACAGTTTTAGTTTTGCTAATATCTACAAAAGATCTACCATGAACGAGGTTTACGAATCTGTTAAAAACGAAGGATTTGTAACTGATAAACTATGTTCTTTTAGGAAAATTGTGAAGCAATTAGAAACTAGGGAATTTAGATGAAAAAAATATGAAGGCAATAGAAAAATGTTTATTTATTAATAAGTAATTTTAAAGTATTTCACAATTTTTTGTAGATAGAAATATTGTATATATGTTGTATTGTATATAAGACTTATAAACATAGTTCCCACACAGTTCCAAAGGGTTGGTGTGATTGATGAAACATGTGCTTAAAATCACCTGTATCTAAAGGGCAACGACTGATTATTTCACATTGTGGTGGTAAAAATGGATTTGTTGAGAAAACGGTGCTCCCATTTTCAAATCTGGACTAAAAACTGGTAATTATCATGATGACATAAATCAACAGAATTATATGAAATGTTTGAAAGACAAAATTTTTTCCTAATTTACCTTTCAATTCAGTTTTAGTAATAGACAACGCTTCATACCATAATGTGACTGTTGAAAAATGGCCTACATCGACTTCGAAAAAAGACGTCATGAGAAAATGGTTTACAGAAAAGAATATATTTTTTGAGGAAAGTGAAACAAAGCTGGAGCTGTACAATAAGATATTACCAACTTATCATCCGGAACTTAACCCGATTGAAAAGGTATAGGCGGTTTTAAAAAATTAAGTGGCGATAACAAACACCACAAATCAGGCTAAACGAAAGCACGCCACAGGTATGGGCAAATACTTGAAGACATGTTGAAAAAATTGAAGAAGAGTATTTCATGCGAAAATTCATTATAGATGAAGCGAATAGAGAGATAGATATAGAAAAATTACAGTAGACCTTTTTTATCAGAATGATCCAAGAAAGATAAAAAAATTGTCCGGGCCGAAAAATTAATTTATACAATTTGTTTAAAAACAATTATTGTTTAAATAAATTATGTCATTTTTGTATAGGCGAACCCTTGATTACCCCATTCTAGTGTATCTCATGAAAGCTATTATGCAAAAAAATTTCATGGAAATATTTTTCCGAAAGAATTAGAGCTTTTCGCTTTGTCTAAACATATTTTGCTGAATTTCAAATCAAAATCCTATTCTTTTTCTGTCATACGTTCATTTGTTGTTTATTTATTTTCGCTGTAAGATTTTTTTTGTTCCTTAAAAGTTTATAAACAAAATTTGTGCAATGTAAATAGTTAACACATTGTAAATATAATATCAATTTTCTTCGACATCAGTAAGTCGTAAAATTTTATTATAATATCTCTTAATGTGAGACATTAAGATAAATGCTTCGCGCTCATGGAATGTTCAAGCTTAGTCTTTCAAACTACGGACGATGTAAACAAATGCACGCTGGAAACACGCGTTTGTTCAGGGCCGTATTAGTAAATTAAAGTTACAATATAAAACGGATAAACTTTGACAGATACAGATTATAGTACACCAATATTTTAAATGTTAAAATGATTTACAAGATCTAGAGCTATTAACCACAAAATAAAGTATGTATGCAGAAAAAAAAATTATAAGATTACCGTGAGAGAATTGAGAGACTCAATTTGGGCTTCAATTAAATTGTCCAACTTCTACTACTACAACTACTTCTTCTTTTACATGTCAAACGCAATTTTTAATATAAAACCTTGAGGAATACGTTCATATATTCTTCACCAAGCATGTTTTCAAGTTCTGCAAGACTTTCTGGCTGGCCTGGTTGATTTCTAACCCTACGATGACGTTAATCCCAAATATAGTGTGCAGTATCATGCATAAAGACTAAATTGTCCAAAATAAATGGATCAAATGGAACTACTGCTTCTGCCAAAACATGCTCGATATATTGCTGAGCATTCATAGGCCATTAATGAAAATAAGTTCAGTTCGAGCTTCAAATGAGATTCCAGCCCAAACCGTGACACCACCACCGCCAAACTTTCTTCTCTGAGACATACAAGTTTGGACATATCTTTCATTTCTCCGTCTCCAAACCCTCTCTTGGCCATCCCCAGACTTCAAACAAAACCGCGATGATTCAGTAATGAGAATTGTTGATGTTGTCATTAGTCCTCTTTCATTGCTGCGTCTTCTAACCGTTCTCTCACTTACATTCACATTTCAAACCTTCTGCAGACGGTTTATTGTAGCAATTGCAGTGGAATGGCGATTTCTTAAAAGTTCCATAGCAATAAAACGATCATGTAACTCTTCTACGGTCGACGTGAGTATGGACCAGTCTCTATAAAGCGATGGACAGCTCTCCATAATGTAGTTCTCGGCATACCTAAAGTTTCGGATACATACACTTGACGTCTTCCGTCTTCTAGCAATGTAACAACCTACTGTACGTATATCTACTGTAGGTATATCTTAATTATTCATTTAGTCGAAATCCACGTTTGAAAACTAAATTACTGTTTAATTAAATGTTTTTAACTTAGAAGATATACACCGACTACAGCAAACAACATCATAAACGTTAAAACTGTCAAAAACAAGCATAAATGATCGCAATAAAAATTTAAATTGAGACGCAATATGAAACAGTGCATAAAACTTTTTTTTAAGAATTTTTATTTTTGGAAATTTATAGGGTGGCCACTTTTTTTGCCGTTCAGTGTATAAAAACAAAGAGCATTCTTTAACGATAGCTTTCTTTTAGTTCAGGTAGCAATAGAGGCCGTGCCGGACGATCAGGATACGGATGAGTCTTCTTCTAGCAGCGACACAACGTCCACGATGTCCGACAGTGGACAAGAGGACACCGAATGGGAGGACAACTACTGGAACGACGATTGGTATGTTCATTTCTTGCTGCTCTCCGATCTCATCTAAAAAACTTACTACGCTAAACGCAAAACAAAAGTCGTCCCTCGTCGAGTTGTTGTGTTGCTATATTTCGAATATGCCTCATGCACATTACGTCACCGTTCTATGACGTGCATCGATGTTTGTTTTGCTATTGCTGTACCTTAGTATTTTTTAGATATATTTAACTGTGGCTATTGTTATTTTTGTATTAAATTCATATTTAACGATCTTTTTTCATTTTTTTCACTCGTCGTATAGGTTACCAATAATTCTTTAGACAGGAACATCATATGAATCGTCTAGAAAGCTGCTGTTTTAAGATAGAAGTTCTATTTTCTAAGAAGAAAATCTAGTATCAAAAATAATTAGTGAAGCAAGCGATTTTCGGAATTCTGAAGAAGTTTTCCAGCATTTACAGTGGATATGTTGGAATTCCGAACGAATAAATAGTTCGAACGTATGCACAAGTGCCTTTAAAAACAATCAATCCATTTTCACTGATAAATATTTATTTTACTTGTCTTAGTAGCAAAACTCATAGTAGTGATATTTTTCCTAGTTTTTAGAGTATTTTCTTTACTTTTGAAGGTATAACAACGCTTATTACGGCGGATATGGACGGTGTTTTACTTGTGGTAGAAGAGGCCACTGGGCAAATGGCTGTCCTTTCAGATAATTCCGCTTCCAGAATAGGAACCATTGCCATTTCACTTGTTTTTTCCAGTAAAAATATTGTTTTTATTACAAATTGTTTAATTTTAAGGTGTAGTTATTTTGGGATAAACTAATTACCAGATGACAAAAAAGTTTATCAATAGATTTCCCCCCTACCGACTTTTCAATATTTTAGCGGTTTTACAAGTAGTAACTTTTGTTAAATAGAAAAAGTAACAGTTTCAGATATTGTCTTACCTCAATTGTTAGTCAATTAATTCCTGTGTAATAAAAGATTCATTTATTAGGGATTAAAATTATATATCACATAATTTTCACAACTTATAAATCAGTTCCCTACAGTAAAATTGTGTACAGTAATATTGATAGTTAATATTCATCTATTAAAAGTGTTGTCATTTGCAAACCAGTAAAATTTTATACTTCAACAGTGATATCATTTAAATACATCGTCATTTATAATCTCGTGAATTCCTGGTCACTAAAAGTGTTGCCATTTATTAGTCATTTACAAAGCGATGAGATTTCATACTTTAATAGTGTTGTCATATAAATACTTCGTCATTTACCAGCTAGAGAATTCCTGTTCATTAGAAGTGTTGTCATTTATTAGGCATTTATAAAACGATGAAATTTCATACTTAACAGTGTCGTCATATAAATACTTCGTCATTTATAATCTAGTGAATCGCTGTTCACTAAAAGTGCTGTCATTTATTAGTCACTTATAAACCAATGAAATTTCATACTTCTACAGTGTCATCATATAAGTAATTCAATACATATAATCTAGTGAATTCTTCTTTATTAAAAGTATTGTCAGTTATTAATGACTTATAAAAGAATGAAATTTCATAATTCCACAGTGTCGTCATATAAGTACTTCAACACATATAATCTAGTGAATTCTTCTTCATTTATAAAAGGATGAAATTTTATAGTCCTATAGTGTCGCCCTATAAGTACTTCGTTATTTATAATGTATTGAATTCCTGTTTGCTAAAAGTGTCGTCACAAATTAGTCATTTATAAGTCAGTGACATTTCATACATTAATAGTGTGAACATTTCAATACTTGGTCATTTATCGTTTAGTGAAATTCTATACATCAAAAATGTCGTAATTTACTAGTGTAGAAAACAAAAAAATGTACACAAGCATACAATCCATTAGAGGTATCCCGTATACGTACATGAAATTTTCAACAATAGTGAAATAACTTATAGAAGAGTCTATATTTTTATGTTAGCAGTAACCATTAATTTTGCTACAACTGTTAGTGACTCTTGTTTTAAAAAGAAACTTTAAGATGTGATAAATGTAGCATTCATACTAAATCTTCTTAACTAGTTGTATTTTTGCGTTGAATGTATCGTTGAAACTTGTAAAAATGTACATTTTTACACGCTTGGAAATTACTTCATTGATCTTGTACACATCAGAAATGAGACCTCTATTTGCAAAACAACCAATCTCTACCCTTGCAAAATTGCCGTAAATCGTAATTTTTTACCGTGAATATATTTGTGAAACCTGGAGCCACAAAATTCGTTATTCATAAACTTTGATCGCTCAAAATTAGTTTTTCGTCGCTGGTTCCTTGGCTGTTATTAAAATACTCTTATAATTAAAGAAAAATATTATTTTTATGTTATTTTGTAGTAAAAACAGAAATGTTTAATAACAGTACTTAATACATTAAAATTATTAATACTACCAAAATTCTATACTTTTAAGACTTCTTCGTCGTTGTCCATTATAGAGTCGTTAAGCCAGTTTAGAATCATTTTGCCATTATTCGCCGTAGTGACTTTCCAGTAGCTTCCTTACGTCCTTCAATTTCTCGTTGCTGATGTTGGCCAAGTTCCCGGCTCATATTTCATTTGGATTGATGTTAATGGTCGATCTTCCTTTTTTTAATACTTCTTAACAAACCGATGCTTGAGTTGTAGCTTTCGTCCCCTTTAACCAATACGACGTTAACTTGCAAATTAAGGTGTTGGAATAACTTGCATGTTTTTAGGTTTTTTCTCGATCGTCCCAACACCTTGTCCGACGACAAGAATGAATGCCTTAGAACGGGATACACTGTTTCAATACATTTTATGTTTTTTTGGAGCTTGTATCAGCCGGCCAGTATCCATATTGCAGAAGATCGAGAAGCCTTCGCAATGGTGATCGCTAACGTCGGATAGTTCTGATATGGCACGCGAAGAAGAAAATCAGCCAGCGACTTGCCTTGGATAAAATTATTTCTTGTCTCCACATCCCTCATACGTTAATCGTACGACACTGATATCTTTTAAATCAGTATTAGATCGCCTGTGATACTTTGCCAGTTCTGTACATATAGCTGTCTGCTATAGTACGCTGCTTCATCCAGGACTTTAGACAGCAGAAGGTTTTTTTGCAAGTCTAAGGATAAAGTCAATAATTCAGGCTTAGATTCCTTTAATAATGCAAAAGAGGCTTTCGATCTAATCTTGTGAATTCTTTTAGCGACATGAAAGACATGTCAAAAAATTCAAAAATATCCTTTTTTACCTCCGTCTCTGGTTTGGCTTGAGCATTGTAAATTTTCCAAAGTTTATTAATACTCAGATCACCTGATGCATACTTGCGCTTACTTCCACCTCTACAGTAATGAGACTCCACGCATTTTATACTTTTAATAAATTCGACCACGCTCCTCAGTTTCTCTTGATGCCTTCGTTTGTTTGCTCCCCTTTTCTCACATGGAAGATTACTTTCCCCACTAAAATTGTTATAGTTCGGAGTCGGCCTCTTGTGATCCTGAAGGCATTAGTGAAAGTCTTTTGACAAATGTGTAACTTGCCATCTGGACCTTTTATGAAAGACTTGCATGTAGTCGTCTTATTACGATTGACTCCAGTTTTTGGACGACGTCTGCGATCAGGGTTCAGCTCTAGAAATTGCAATATAGGTGTCTTGTTTAACTTTCTCCTCATTTTTATGAAAAGCTTTATAAAACGCCATCATATCCGCAATATTGAGTTTTGTGCACTGGTAGGCTCTCCCGACGTGCTTGCATGTTGGCATTTTAGGGCCTTCGTTTCCCCATATCTACAAATAAATTAAATTCACATTCTATTTTAGATATCTACTAATTATATGTAAATCATTTTTTAAGTATAAAAAACAATGAAAATTATACATATTCCCTGCATTTTAACAAAACTGCCAAGCATAAAAATATACTAACCTCAGCAGTTTTCTCACATTTCTCGACCATTTCTCTGGCGTGCGACTCTATTTCTATACTTAGTAGGCGTTAATGCGTCTGGTGTTTTCTCCATTTATTACTAAATTGCAAAAACTTTAGAGAATAATTTTTTTTCTCTCAACTAAAACTTTTCTCAGCTTTAACACTAGGATGACCGCCATCTTAAAAATCACCGACCACGTGATACAATGTATCGCTCTGATTGGTGCAGATGGATATTCTTTGTTTTGAAACCACCTACGAGACCTTGGAGAATGGTCATTTTGAAACAACAACCAATTTTATCTATGGGAGTTTGGTAGTTATGTTACGAAATTTATGCATAGCTGGATGCGTCTTTTTATAAGGAATCCAGTGCCGTATTTATGTCAAATTGTCCAAAAAGTGGAGATTGGTTGTTTTGCAAGTAGAGGCCTCAAATGATATCGCTGAAAAGTTTTGCTGGAAAATATTCAGTTGTTCTTGAGACACTTTTAACGTATATTCCAAAGCTTATTCTAGCTGTTCATTCTAAATCAACCCAAAAAGGCTACAGTATCACCATGGAAGTTCCCCCTATCACCTCTTTTTGTAAATTTTTTAGGAATTTTTTCCGAAAATTAAGGTGTTTTCTTCCATAGGTAGTTAGTAAATGTTATTTGGAAAATATTTGTGATATATTTCGCAGCCTTGAATATTTATAAAACAAGTATGCAACTTATATAAAGAGTTTAAAGTGAACTGTTCTGGAAAAACGATAAAAAATCAAATCAATTGGAATAATACCTTGGAATACCTTTATTTGTTTTTATATCTCTGTTATACTTTTTCTTTTTTGCTTTATACGTTTCAATATAACAAATAATCAAAGTACACTTTGGTTTGATTTTTGATTGCCAAATATTTGTAAAAAATTAATATGATCGTAGTTTAGGTAACTTTATATAAAAATAAATCTTAATTTTTTTGTTAGTTGCATTTATTTCCCTTCTTGTTTGATATTTCGTGGAAGGCGTCAAGAGATTGAAGGTAAGTATTTACTATTTTTACAATTCCTGTAGCTGAAATGGTAAGATATTTGATTATTACGGGTAACGAATCACCGGTTTCCATCACGAGTTCCTTGGATAGTAGTGGACAAAAGGATCAATAAAATTATTTTGTTTGAAAGCTAATACAGATTGAACGAATTTAAAACGGATCATACAATTTAATATATGTCTGTTTGAACTGCATTTGAAATAGTGGACCAATATAAAACTTGGACAAAAATAAATGCATACCTGGGTTTAGACATTGTATAAAATATCGTTCAACTATCTGTCTCGTAACAATGTTGTTTGCGTAACAATGTTGCCAATCGCCGTGTAATAATCCGATTTGCGGATCTTTTTGAGAGTTATATCTTCTTCGTATCTTTAAATAAATCGGATATTTGCTTATATTTTTCATTGCATTTACCAATCTACTACAACAGACTAATAACAAAAATACACTTAATGGTTTGTAGTTATTTTCTTTTTTTCTTGTAAATATTTTATGGATAACACCTTATTTGAGAAACATCTAAAGGCATGAGGTTGGCAACACCGCTCAAAGAAGAGCTTGTCTAAGGAAGCGATAACTGGTTTGACAGCATAATAAAATCGTAGATTTATGTGTAGCTTTCAATTTTTATGATTTCAGAATCCAGCAGCCCGCTGAAGTATTGGATTTTTTCAAATATAATTATTTGACAACCTTTTGTTGGCCAACCACCTACAGCAAAATTGAGCCGAAATACATAATATTTCGTATGTTCCGAATTTATTTCGTTCAATCTGTATATTAAAATATTATTGTACGTGAAATTTGATATACTGACAATGTCTTTATTGATAAACCAGTTAATTTCCATACATTATGTACAAGTCGGTGGATTTATATACTTTAAATTCCCATGTATTAAAAATGTCTTCATTTTTAAGGCATTTATTTACCATCGTTAACAATGTCATCATCTACAAGCCAATGCTTGATCATATTGTAACGGTTATTTAATTTATTTACAGTCTTTTAACGCTAACACTAAAAACTCAATTAATTTATAACATTTATTTACTTAACTTCATTTACAAAGATATTTATTAGACTAACTGTATAAGGTAATTTCTTATATTTATACCGTGCGCCGGTGCTTCTTAAAATCTATGGGCGCTGGTTAATTGTCACTTCGAAAACTTGAATCATTCTACTTGCTTCTAGACTGGTTCGCCGCGGGTCATCGAAAGTCGGACTGATTTTAGATAATAGGCAAAGGGCTGGCGTAACAATATGGTCAATATATAATCCGATCTTTGCTAAAAGAACGTTAGAAGGGAGAAATAATCAATGGCGTAGAATGGTAGAAAATAAAGTACTTTCAGATACTTCGAAGAGAACATCTGAATGGGGTTGGAATTTAATACCATAACAACAAATGCATTAGTTTTCAGCCGCGACTCACAAGCCCATCACAACCAGAGTGTTAGTATAAAACTATGTCCTCTGATTGGAAAATATTGATGGATTTCTTGAAATCTACCATTCATGGTCAGTGTAGTAACCAAACCCGACGTACTGACTTCATTTAGGCCTCGCTGAGTACCTCCCTCTGTATATGTGTAGAACAGCAATATATCATAGACAAGGGTCGCAACATAATAAAAACCTAATACCAAATTTTATGTAAGTCTTGAAAGTCAACGTTTTTATCAGCCACGTATTTCTTAAGAGCTGCCCATACTAATTATATGGAGTTGAAATCTGGATGATACGGAGGCAGTCGTAATACCGAATGACCACTATTACCCTGTATTCTGTCAATTTCATACACCTTAAATCTGGGTTTATGGATTTGTACAATGCTGTAAAGATCTACTTTTAACATATTTTCTGCAAAAGGCAGATTGCGTTGTCTTAGCCACTCTTTCATTACATTTTTTGTGTAACTCATATTAGGACACTTTTCAACTTGCACGTTGTGATAAGAAACATTATCATCAACCAGTACACTACGTGGAGGAAGATTGGGAATAACCATTTCCTGAAGCCTTCTTGAGAATGGGAGGAATAAATGTAGGTTTCGTCCATGTATATGATAAGACGCTTATTTTCTCGGTATTTTTTAATATCTCGAAGAAAGGTTAATCTCAACTGTTGGATTTCCGGTTTTTCCATTAATTTTTGTTTTTCTCCAACGAAACCCTCATTGCTTTTCTCAATGATTCACACGAACCATTGTAGTTGTACTCAGTGGCAAATTTTCTATGTACTCGTCGTAAATTTGGAACTTGTTTTTCAGTAGTACAAAAATTAATAATAAATTGACGAAACACCCCTTTGTCGCACTCATCCAACTTAGATTTTAAAGCCGACTTATATCTTTTTTTATTTGGAGTACTAAATGTCGATGCAGTACCATCTTCGATTTCCTTCGAAATGACTTGTATGGCGAATAAACTTACACCTGTTGCTCTTACAACACGTTTTTACACTTGTTTGAATTCTATTAGAGGTACGTTGTCCCTTGCTTCTTGTTGCATAAAATGCATAACATTTGCTATAATTTCTCGGCTTTGACCGGACAAAACTTTTCGATTTAATTTTGATTTAAATTCCATTTTACGTCACTGGGACTCACTGTTCTTTAAAGCTGGATTTATAGTTTGACGGACTGTAGACGTAGACGCACTGGAGACGTAACAAACGGACTGTAAATATTATTTCAATTTATAAATCGACGGAGTGGAATTTTTGGGCATGAGTGGAAACAGTGACTAGAGTTGGTGACCATGATACTATAATATTATTTTATAAATTCTTAACGTCCATTGTGACAAATAATCAACAAAATTAAAATTCGAATATGTTGATAAGCAACTTTACAAAATTGTGGGCGGGCCAGACAGTTCACTTTGGTTGACAGCACACAATTCTTCCTTTTGATTGGCCAGACGCAAGTAACGCACTGTAAAAGATGAAAGTTGACCAACTCTTCCGTTATAGTGCGTTTCGCTTACGTCCCGTCTTGCGTTTACGTTCATTTTTAAATAGGAGTACACAAAATGTTTGATAAATTGTACATAAAGGCTGCCGACGATTTTATTGTTTTTGCGCTCAGAGAATAGAAGATACAAATATTCGTAAAATGTCTATTGGCTATCTCACTTATTTTTGCCATATTTTTTATCCTTTTCCAATCACCCATTCAATTTATGATCATTTCTAAACATAAAACTATAACAAATGTTCAAACAATCCACCATGTTGTACATTAGTCAGCACGCTTGGCGTTATTTTTGCACACTCTTCATTAATTCGCAATTTTAATGCTTCAATATCTGTAAATGTTTGGAAAGAATAAATTTTAGATGCCTCCAGATAAAATGACCATTCGTGAACAGTTAACATTTGTTTTCAATACAGATTTCAGTCCATTAGATATAGTTTTTCATGACTTGATGTAAAATAATTAGAGAAGAAGTAATTCAACTGTTAAAAATTTCCCTTTCACTTTCCTATCATCCGTTTGACGATTCACTACCCGCTATATGATACGTGGGTTCTACAATAAATTTTTCTGTAGATTATTTTTTTTTAAATAAAGCTCTTTATATGCCCGAATATTGAACCTAAATGATTTTGCGTACAAAATCCCGTATAATTCGTCGGAGCCTATTCTTAATTAAAAGCACACTGGTTTGATCCTGTATGCTCAGAGTTGACCAGGTTTACTGATAATGAAATCGATTCCCATCTTACCGAGATTTTCGCCCAATGTTTCGTCCCAAAATGAAAAGTCCGTACCATCAACGATATCACGTACAGACCCTGCAAGGTATGCACTGCACAGTAGCGCACTTAGGTGGCGTTTTCGGGGTTAAATTACCTATAACGACCTATACATGTAAAAAGTTATTTTCATCGCTGAAAGTACTAGACTTATTTAAGAAATTGTATTATCGAAGAAAGACTAAATGGTTTAAGTTTGATGTTTATCCATCAGGACATTCAAATAGATGAAGAAGAGGTAATAAACCATATGGCTCTAAATATTTTATTATAAATTTAATTTGTTTACAAATTATTATTTAAAATACAGTTTAGGATTTAAATTTTCTAAGAGTAGACAGAACGAGTCTGTTGCGAGTAGCATGCGCCTACAGGACTGTATCTGCGACGACCTTGTGGACTATCACGGGTTGTGTTTCTCAGCAAGTGTTAGCAGTAAAAAGGCGACATCTCTATGAGAGAAGGGAGCCTTTCATAACAGCCATAAAATAGAAGGAAAGGGACAGATCAATGGAAATATGGCAAGAAGAGTGGAGCAACACGGAAGATATTGCCCAGTGGACCAAGATGCTGATCCCGAGCAACGTCCACCAATGGGAGAGGATCGTAGGTTCAGAAAAACAGTTACAGATAATAGGCTATACTGCGAATATTTCGACACTGTTACTCACACAATGCTGGAGTGTAATAAATGTACAGTGGAGAAAATGTATAGAGAAATAGGTATGAACCCTGTAACTGTGAAAGAGGTGATCGTGAAGATGACGGGAAATAAGGAGGAATGGAATCGTGTTCACAATTACATCCAAACGGTAATTAAGAAGAAAAAGAAAAAGTACTTCTATAGTGTCGTCAGCCTTACAGCGGCCATCCTACTTTCGGAGTACGGTACGTGCGACAATTCAACTGCCCACAAGTGGGAGAGGTTGGTTTTAGTTGGTATGGAGGGTAACAGATACATGAATCTTTGGCACTGCTATCTTTAGTACTTTAAATTGAACTAGAACCCAAATTTTAAAGGTCTATTCAAACACATC